CCCCTGATGCCACCTATGGAAGCTCACCCTGGTCACCCTCCCCCTCATCTCTTCTCCCCACTTCAGGTCCTCACACAGGTAGACCAGCACTGCTCTGGGCCCAGCTGGTGCAAAAAACATTGACTATTTGCTTCTCAACAAGCATTTTGTTTCTCAGGGATGCATAATGAGTGAAGAACCTTTGTTCTTCGTTTGCAGGACCTTTACTCATCTGTATTTTAACACTGCATGTTACGTAGCACCTGGTTTAGTTATATTAAAAGTGCTTAATTTGAAATGAAACTGCATGTATTGCGCATAGCACACTTTCTCGCTTAAATGTTGAATATTTAGAATATATACAGCTCCTTGTCAAATTATATTTCAGCAGAGCTTTTTCTCCAAAAGTAATCTGCTACTTTACTTTTCCTATAGCGATCATCTGCCTCTTTTGTCCCAAATGACTCTAAGAGGCTAAAAGTGTAGTGCCATATTATTACACTGCGTGCAGTAGAATATTCACACATTTTGCATTATTTTGGATAAAATAATGATGCTGTCTTTTGATATAAGTTTATACTGGTGCAATGAACTCTGATGTATTTGTTTTATCTAACATTAGATGTGAACTGTTCAACATTGAGTCAGACGGATCCTGGCCTAATCAGTGTTGCTATGCACTGCTGATTTCCAATCAGTCATTCTGGTGTTATATTGATTGTCTCTTGTTTCACCTGGCTGCGCTAATGCTAGCACAATTCTAACAAGCATTTAGAGGCACTTTATCTTCTTTTTACCTCGTGCTTTTGATAACATCAGGCATGTGTTATTGTCAATTAACTGTAATCACATTGTCTGTCTTTAGAATTCACACAGACATCTTGTGTTTTGTTGTTTGCATATTAGTCAGTGACCAATGAGTACCTATCTTGAATTGTCTTATTTTTGTCATTTCTTATGTTTATAAGTGAACAAAACTGAATAATAGAAACATATTTACTGAAAACCTATTTATAATTTAAAAAATAAAAACCCTTTCATGGCAACTCTTCACCCAGCTACCCCACAGGGGGAACCCAAAACAGGTCCATCAGTGTCGAGTTCAGTAGTGCTTCTATTTCATTAACCACTATCTTACAAGGTTGTTGGGTTTCATACAAGGCACCATGGACCCAAGCAGCAGCTATCTTGATAAGAGGCATGTAAAGTATGGTCAGTTGGCACTAGGAGAAAGAGTGCAGTAGGTGCCAACAACAGAGAAATGACCCTTGTGGTAACAGTAAAGTCAGCCAGCCACACTCTTTTCTGCAGCTTGGTTTAAACATAACGAGAGACATCATTTCAGTATTAGAATTTTTATCTTCATCCTTCTAAAAATACATTAATTAATTCACTTAGATTGGAGGAAATTGATAAATAATTAAAAAGAAGGCAGTATCTTACTGATTATGTACATCCCCATCCATGTTTTGTTCTGTGTCATTAGGATAAACTGCACTCTTTTATCTCCTATTATCTATGAAACTTCTTTTTTCTCCAGCGTTTCTCATCTTCTCTGCTTTTGTAGGTGGCGATGCAGTGCTAACTGGTGCATACAGTCCAGAAGACATGGCTGCCCTGGGAGCTACTCTTGCTGTCCTGCTCATTCTTTCGATGGTGATAATTGGCCTGCTGGTATTTAAAATCTACAAAACAAAAACAGACTGGAAAAAGCTATCTGAAGCCAGTATCTTCCGGAGTTCTGTAAGCATAACATCGACATAATTGGTGAAATAATTCCTAATACAAAAGTAGTGTGCGATGCACAATATGCACAGGATATCTCTCAGCAGACAATCAATATACTCTATTTGAAGCTGTTTTTTCAGTGCACTGCAAAACTTTGGCATACTTGTTGAAGTTATATTTAGGATTCTTTTGAAAATTATATTGAAAATTTTGAAAAGTATTTTAACATTTTTTTTAGGTAATTAATTATAAATGCAATTTCAAACACAAGGCCTGAAGATTTTTCCCTGGCAAAATGTAGGATTTTTGTAGTACACTCACTCAATAAATGATCTGAATATATTACTAAAGCATTCTCCTGTGACATGTGATCCATCTTTATTCTTTTTCTCCCCGACAGATTGGCCGCGGTTCCTCTGCAAATGACGGGATGCAGTTTGTAAATGATGGTTACAAGAATGGTGATGATGCAAGCAGTGTTGATTCCAAATGCCCAGACGAGGTTGACCACAATATATACGTAAATCTACAATCAAAAACCCAAGAGCTTCCCGAGCCTGTGAGCTTCTCGGCAGCTCCTGCTCTGGCCTCTGATCTGTTGGGAGATTCAAGCAGCCTGGCTGGGTCCGACAAAACAGAGAGTGAGAAAGAGGTCAAGCCCATCCTCACCAAGGAAAGAAGGAATGAAGAGGGGTATAAGTCCGTCTGGTTCAAAGAGGACATTGATCCCAATGCTAAAGAGGAAGTAGTCATTATTCCAGACAACCCAGAGACCGAAGCTGTCGAAGATTATGAATCCTTAGCTGGGGACGACAGTGACAAGGATCCTGAGTCTCCAACAGCCCAAAGAAAAGCGTCCTTGGAAGATGGAGAGATTAAGTTTACCAAGACCTCCGCTGTCCGCTTCCAAGACCCCAAAGCTCACAGTGGAGACAAATATACCTTGGACACTGACAACGAGGAAGACAACATATCTCTGTAAAAGAGAAACTCTTCTTGTTGCATGAGAAACACACCTGCATTGCCATGATCTGTTATGAACTCTCAGGATTTCACTGCAATCAGCAGAAGTGTGATTAGAAATTCCGTTGCTCGTGAATGCTGCCTTCCATTTAATTTTTCTGAAAGTGATTTTAGAACTTTTCTCTTTGAAAGATTATTAACCATTTCAAAAAATTTGGTTGTACTTAAAGGAATGTGAGATTGATTTGTCAAAACGGCAGCAATGAGCTTTAAATTAGGTGAGTTTTCCCTTTTCATTTTTTTTTCCTTCCTTTTCCTACATGAGTGAAAGGAAATGAATACACAGTACAATGAGAACAATGTTATAAATAGAGACATTTCAAAATCAAGTGCCAAACACACAGACTTAGACTGTCTTAGTTGTCTTTAAGCTAAAAACTTCAAGCTTGCTCTCTCTAACATAGGAGTTGTAAGTAAATCTCAAGAGCTTCTTTTCATGATTTACTGAATGTGCGGAAATATTATTATTAATATATAATATTATTTATATTACTGTATTAGATGATCTTCTAGTAGGTAATTTATCACCCACAAGTTTTTGAAAGATTCATAATTGTCAATAGCAATGTAAAAATTAATGAACATTGGTGCACTTTAACTACTGTATATAAATGATATAATAGGGTAGTTAATTATACTCTACCCACTGTTTGTATTACAGTTTCTCATTAAACTTTGAATGCTTTGAAATAAGAAGACAAATACATATTGTCATAGCATATTATCAGCCCTAAACTAAATTGCTTACAGCAGTTTAAAAGAAATATAGAAGAATTTGATTGAAAAAAAAAGGTGTCTGTAGTGTGGTTGTCTATCCTGAGTTTCAGCTGCTGATCATGGTCTTGATCTCAACATGAGCACTGTAATAACAGCAACTGCAGTGCTACTTGTCACGTGCTATTTGCTTTTCATAAAAATAAACCTCATTAACTATAGCTGTGTGCTAAAAACAGCAGCAGAGTGACACATATCAGTGTACCTTGACCACAATGGCAGAAGCTGTGTGCAATATAGTTATGAATCAGTAGCCCTTCTATAGCTATGTCAGGATCAGTGCAGTGTGTCAAATGCAGTGTGATCTGTCATATTGTAACTCACTAAAACCAAACGGGCAGAGTGTGAGGTCTGTCTCGGGATCTGCTAGTTAACACTAGAGATGGGATTCAAATCTACACTTTGTTGCTGTAAGATGACTATAAAAAGATTTAAAAAAAAACAATAGTGAGGCACTCTGTGCCACTACTCAGTTATGGAAAACAAAGCTCTGTGTGTTTCACATTTTGTTTTATAACCAACCACATTTGCTTTAGGATTACAGTTAAAGAAGAAGCCGCATGGGAACTGGTGCAGGGTTTACCACATAAGGTTAATATTTAATTCACACATTTCTTTTCATTATATTTGTGAAAGGACCTCTTTAAAAAGGTCTCTGATAAGGAGAGGAGTTAAGACTTTTATTGTACTGTGGAAATGTCATGTATTGCAAATTAAACACCACTCTGTGCAATAAAATATCAATTTTCAATAACTGCTTAGTATAAAATGGGGATGTTGATGTTGTGAGCTTGAGTCGAACATGGCAGACAATCTTACTTTATTGATTAAATCACTGTTGCAATGGTTGCTAGATACTATTAAATGGGGGCAAAAGCAAGTCACACACACAGAGGAAAACTTAGACTCCAATTAATCTAGACAACATGGCCTATGTGGCCATGGGGAGAAAAAGTAAGCTGCTGGGCAGACGTGTGCTGTGGTTCAGTTTAAAGAAAGCTGATATGAGCCGTTAGGGACAGACTAATGTTGCTAGTCATTGCAACAGAGTACATTTCTCTTTGGCATGAGACAGATTAAGGAGAGAGCTTCCAACTGGCTGCTGTGTCAGGGGCAAAGGTTCTTATTAAGAATCAGTGTCCTGTCCCTGGCTCCACAGGATAAGACAGATCATTTTCTTACTCTGTAATAATCTTAGGGGGGGAATAAATGAGTGAACATGAATGCTTCAATACAGGCTGTTACATGTGAGTAGGGCTAAGTGACGGGCAGGTAAAAAGGAGGACTGAAGCAATTTTCCCTGAAGCTGATTGATAGATCTAGGATCCTAGAGGGGGTGTGAAAGATAAGCATAGACCACACAAAATGTAAAAAAGTAAGACAACATCCTGGCAGCATTGTGATTAATGATGTGTGTAAGTGTCCCAGATAAAGCCTGAATGACAAGCCCAATAGGAAACACCTCGATACGTATTTTCCTTCTTGTTTTCTTCTAGTGATGCTATAGACGTTAACCAAAAAAAGTGATTAAATTGAGAGCACCTTCAGTTCTTTTCTGAAAAGTTTAAAACGTAAACTGAGCTGTTGGGCTACAGGGAGAAGTGAAAAATTATCACTGTAAAGAGAAGATATCATTCAGTTTTGCCGTTCTTGGAATAAGTTCTGTTTCACTATAGTATCATAGCCCCAGGTATTAATTCCCCTTGACCCCTTCCTCCTGCTAGTAGAAACTTCAGAGCAGTTGATCAAACATAAGCTGTATGTCTTTGGGAGTGAACCAGAGCACCTGGTGAAAACCCACATGGGCAAGTGGAGAACATGCAGGTTCCACAGGAAGTCAGAAGAGGGTCCTGGGTTAGTGAGGCAGTAGTGTTGACTACTACTTCATTATGCCTCCCTATCCAGCACTGAACCAGTTATCCTGATTCTGCTCTAGTGTTAAAACCAGAGTAAAGGGATTGTTTAAATTGTTCTTAAGCTAAATAAATTAGATTGTGCTCTAGATGTTCACTTGAGCTCTACATTAGGCAAATCTAAACTTCACTATATTTTGTCTTCAAAGGTTTTCTTGAGGGAACAGAAAGGATTGAGGTTTGTTTCAGAAAATAATCTTCTAATTGAGACTTGGCACTAAGGCAAACTAAGTTAGGTCTTTTGCCTAAGATGGACATGATCTAGATCTTCACTTCAGTAGTGTTTCTTAGATCAAGAGAAGGGTATTGCTTTGTTGTGCCAATTCTCAAGTTGGATGGGGACATTTTCAGCTACAGGAAATGTACACACTTTCCAACAGCAAAAAAAACTTATCAGCAGCTAGTGGTTTTTATTTTAGTTATGTTTACAAATGGTCTAACTGGTACCCTGCACTTTTTAGTTTCCATATTTCAAAAATATCACGTGAACAAAGCCGACACACACTAAGTTCATTTTCAATTTATGGAAACAAATTCTCACATAAGAAGGCTGTGGTTCTGAGACATATTTAAGAAAATGTAACAAAAAGCAAGTGAACTGGCAGTTACTAAAAAGTACCTTTTTTAAAAAAATACACACATTAAAACAAAATTGTTCATGTCGTCACATCAGATTAAATATTCTGCCAGATACCACAAAGCATGTAGTCTTAATTTTTCAACTTAAAATTTGATCATTTGTTATTTACTGAAAAATATCAGCTGATGAGTAATTAGGCTCTAAGCCCTTAAATCTAAATAAATGCATTGCTACCTGATACAACGGAACCCATATTTGTGCAATAACCTTAGTATGTTTCTCCTTTCCCTAGAGATTGTCAAATTTAACTACTTCTATAACTATTTAGCTTTTGCAAAGCCAACTCTGTTGTTCTCCCTATCAAATTCTGTGTAGTACTGCCCAATAAAGACATCTCCCAGAATCCACAGGGGCCCAGCTGGAGGAGGGATGTCAAGTCCCATGAATCCACTCAGGCAAATTGTCCTCCCTGCCTGGCTTTCCTAAAGAAAAAGAACAAATCAGAGAGAAGAAAATGTAATAGATTTTGCCAAACAAAATATTCTTATATTTTGCTCAGCTCTGTCTTTTATACAACTAACAAACATGAATTCATGTAAGTGATAGAACTTGTTTAATACAAATTTAATGATGGTTAATGCTGTGGTTTTAAAGCTGTTTTTCCTAGAATCTATTTTAATGGTGTTTTCAGTCAGCTTTGGCTACGATTAACTTGAATCAGCCAGGCCATTCTGTGCTTGAGAACTACAGGAGTAGCACCACCTTTTAAGATTTCTGTGAATCTTCTCTGATGTTTCATTTCAGGTCTGTTTTTCTTCTATCTGCTTCACTGCATGTTGGAATTGTGGCTTTATGTTCTCATTAGAAGTTCTACCCGCTATCGGAAAGCTTATCCTGGCTGAAGGCGGCATCCAGCCAGAGCTTTTATCACAAGCACAGGCTAGAATCAAGCCCAGAACCCTGGTAGAGCAAGGCAACAGAATTAGCACTGCGTTGCCCCTTACAGAATTTTCTATTGAGAGCTGGTTAACATGGACATATTTTATAAATAAATGTCAAGGTGGAATGAGACAAATGCCTCAGTTTTGATCACCTTAAAAAATAACATGTACCTGAATGAAGTAGGTCAATGTTGTCATGTTACATACAGGTAGTATTGCAGTGAAAGTGGAAATGGTGTTTTGGGGCACTGTTATTTTTAGGTATAGTATCTTCAGAAAACTATATTCATTTCTTAATCAAAGAGCTCACCTTCAGGACATACTGATCTCCAGTCAGCTTATATGTCTGCCCACCCATTGTGAACGAAATGACAGGAAGAGAAGGAACTTTCTTGCAGTCAATCATGTACTGAAATAGACCAAAAGAAAATATCATTATCTGTTAGACCTTTCTAAATGATAAAATTAGCAGCTGTTTAACTCACACCTTACTAACATTTATACTATACTTATGCCTGAACGTACACACAAGGCCTGAGTCGCTCAAACCAGTCTTATATCTTTTTCCATACTGAGCCACTCCTGGTTTCTAGACCTTGAACTCAAGATCCCTCATCTGCTAATAAAAGTAAGCTTCTAACTATGATTCTACCCTGATAACACTGTTAAACTTTAACAGAGGAAAGTCAGTCAGGAGTGTTCTGCCCTGCTCTGTTGGCACAATAAAGTTTCATAAACACAACAATCTTGCGATGTGGGGGGACCTAGGGTCCTTTGTGCGTACCTCCCCCTGGATGAGTGGGATGGCTCCAATGGCTTTCTGGAGCGCCTTCACTTCTTCAGCGGGTCCAGTAATGAGGGAGGTACCAGTGTCAACAATGGCCTCACAGCCACCCTTGCACAGAGTCAGCTGGCTACCAACACTCATCCTGTGAAGACCCAAATGTAGTAGTGGTGGTATTAGCTATGGACCTGTCCCACACTTCCACATTCTATAAAGAAGCACCTCTAAATATTAACTTATTTAATATATAATTTCTAAGTAAAACAGCAAAGTAGTAAAAAAAAAAGTATAATACAACATTACATGCTGTTTGACACTCATCAGTTGTTTTTCTAACATTAAAACAACATTTTTTTTTTATCTCGCTGCCATAATATTTATTATTTCACACCTTCACACCAGCCCTTTTGTGAGTGGCTTTTCTGAAAACAAATTGACCACAGAAAATGTTCACCCATCTGTCTCTCTTCTAATCTCTTGATCCGATTCAGGGCGAAGGGGGAGCCAGAGCCTATCCCAGCAAGCAACGGGGGCAGGGCGGGATACACCCTGGATGGGAAACTAGTCCATCGCAGGGCTCACACAGACACACTCACTCCAGGGCTAATTTTCCCTGAAGCCCATTAAACTACCAATGTGTTCTTATGGCTGTGGGGGGTAACTGGAGCACCCTGAGGAAACCCACGTGAACACTGGGAGAACACACAAACTCCAAGCAGAAATCACCACAAGGCCAGCATCAAACCCTGGGCCCCAGTGTTGCAGAGCAGGAATCCTAACCAATGCGCCACTGTG